CCCCCCCCCCTTTCAAATAATCCTGGATCCGCCCATGTTATACTGCTAAAATTATTAACATACCTGATCTCTTCACTCGTGCTTGAAGGGGTGTATCACCCAATTCCTCCTCTGAAAGGCTAAAAAATCATTCCTTATAATCATATTCATTGACAATATTATTAAATTTACAAATAAGCTAACGTAGTTACGTGCCGTACAAAGAACACCCTCTAACCCCACTAGTACTCGAGTTACATTGTATATCTCATGGGATTCCCCTGCGAGAATATGGTGTGAGGTTAGTCTGTAAGTACTGGTAGATGACCACATTGAGCAGAAAAGGGTATTCCTCCTGCTTTACAGAACTATACACCTCAGGGGTAAAGTGCACTATCTCGCTTCATATAACTAGTAGTACGTACCCAGTGCGAGTGATTTGGCTGCGAGTGCGTTACCCGAGGAAACGTTAATTATTAGCAGTTATCTACGCTTTTTAACTTCCTCTGCCAGACATTTTGATTTCCACTGCCATCTTCCCATTTTAAAGTACTTTTGGTAAATATAACTCGCTTACCTGCAAAGATTCGGTGAGCAATTCCTCTTCTCCTTCACGTCCACGCTCACCTTCGAAACAACATGCTGTCTGCATTGTTTACATCTCGTATCTGAGTCGAGAAGCCGCGTTATTTCAAACTGTGTCAAGATGGCTGACGCCCGGGGTTCGAAAGTGGACGGTGAATATGATTCTTTTTTTCGATATTGATTAAGGCCATTTACCTGCCATTTTATGCTTTACCCATAGCAATTGTTCTCAGATAAGTTAAAAAAGAAGCAATCCATGCACTAAAAAGGCGTTTTTAATCCTATTTTTTGTCCCTTTAAGATAAAATGTGTAAAATGTAAATTCACTAAATAACCCCAGATGTTTGAGAGCTGCAATTACAGAAAATATTGTCCCATACATAGCCTGTATATACAACTAATACATAAAATATTGTTGAATTTTCACCAGTGCTCAAAGTATATAGTAACTTCCAAAATTAAACAATTTAACACTTTTATAATATATGAATGAAAAGGCGTGTCTTTCACTGCTAGCTCAGTTAAAAAACAATTGTTTAAAGAGACATTGTTACTGTTGAGCAAAAATGTTCATTACCTTAGTAGCTGGATCATACATGATAATTATCAAACACAAGTCAAAATATTTTTATACCATTAGCTGACATTTATATGAGGGTCTTGGCCTCTATACTACCTAGCAGTCAGTAACAACATCTACTCAAGTCAGTCTAATGAAGGCCTACGTCCAGGGTTGGCCATAAGTTAACGGCATAAAAATATCTGGGCTTGTGTTTGAAAATTATTTTATATGATTGTTATTGTTGCTTATTTAAAGAACATATTTGTTTTATCCATAAGGCATGTTGTTTCAACCCTTCATCACCCCCTCCCTGTGATTTACCCATATATGCAAGTTCCTGAGCTCACAATGATGAATCAATCATGTTATCAGGCCCTTCAACAAATTTCACATATAACAAAATAGTTCTTACCTTTGATTGTAGCTTGTTGGTCCGGGGTATCATCACAGTTATATTTCTTGTGCTGCATAAACACCACAATTTCTGACAAAGGAAATTCAGACTGGCAGGAACCACAGGTTAGGTAATCTACATCTGGCACTGACATCATGAACCTAAAACAGAAACCATACCCCAATATATATATTTTTAATCTAAAGATGCATTCAGTATGCAAGTTTAGTGACAATAACTAACATGTCCACTTGCTTCAGATGTATTTTTAAAGAATGAAGAATACTCTGTTCCAAACACAGGTCAAGTGTTAAGTCATGAGATCACTGCAGCCATACCACTTGTTCTAATAGTCCTGATTGCCAAGCTAAACTTTCATACTAAGGTTTTAAAATAGTCAATATGATTGACAACCAGATAAACATATACAAGTGTGAATTTTCCTTTTTTAATCCACAGCCAAGGGTGGGAGCGGTATAAATTAGAAGGGGAAAATAAACATATACAAGTGTGAATTTTCCTTTTTTAATCCATAGCCCCAACAGAGCCGAGATTTAATGACTGTACCCCCGCAGGGACGACGCATGGGGAGGCGTGTACAGTAAGAGGTGGAGAGACTATTAAAAGATTAGGCGGTTTTCCTTTTATGTACGTCCACCATATTTAGGTCTTGGCTTTGTAGAGCCTTGGCTCTTCTCAATGTGAATGCGGCCTAATACATGCAGACAAGTGAATTCAAATCAAGACATACCTCCGAGTCCTTGGCAATCAAAACTATTTGTGAAACCGGTTTCAAGCATTGTCTAGCTCTGATCTAACTCATTTGGAAATACAGTTACTTAATCATCTTAATACTAAGTTATTCTTTTTATCATAAAATTTCTTTTCTATATTTCATTTTATTATTTGTACTTCACAATCTTTCTGATTCAGGTTGCCTATTTTGTTACTTTTGATGCAAATTTTTGGTCTGATAGTTTGCAGTCTTGGGAGTTATAGCATAATCACACAATAATAAGGAAAACCAGTTAGAAATATGAATGTCAATAACAAAGATTAAGTGAACTGCCACACTCGAGTCAATAGCCTTCCAATCTTCATAGTGTTACATAATATCTGTGCCATATAGCTGTCCACTAGTGCCTCGCTCTCTAGCTACACAGTATCCGCTCGCACAATATATTAATGGGCACCCAAGCCCAAAACGAGGTCGTTATGTGGAAAATGAAATCGTCGTCTGCACACGACACACAACCAATTCAATCCGGTGTCAACAAACGCATTTAATGCGGCAAAATATCTTCAAATCCACAAATTCAGCATACCTTTTAAAGATAAGGGAATGCCCTGGACACAGCTGTTTATGAACGATGTTGTTAAGTGAATCACACTTTCTTAGCATGCAAAATAACGCCGTTAAAAGCAGAGCTCCTCTGGCAGTGAAACATGTCCGAAGTCTCGTAATCAAGGAATCATGGGAAGTGAATGGGGAGTTGGGGGGGGGGGGCGTAGGAAAGTTTATACATAAAGTGAATTGATAAATAAAACGTTTCCGAGTCGATGGAAGCTAATGATCCAAAGATTTACAAATGTTTTGAGTAGGAATAATGGCATAATTTGTGTGTTTTTGAAAAAGAAATTAACCCACACGATTTAGTTCGCGAGTATTCACGAGAGGTGAAGGTCAAACCTTAGAAGCCGGTGAGTTTTTGTTTTTATTTATTAAAAGTGTTTATGTACAGTTTATAGTAAATTGTTTTAATGGAATGATATTTACTATGACCAATGATAAAATTTTATTGCTATGCAAGATATCCTGCATGAGCATGGTCGAATCTGGTCGGATTGACGACCGTGGAATGACAACACATGGACAAAATAACCAGATATATTCTCCATGGATATGCACCGGGTAAAGAACCGGGGCCTGCTCTGTAGTGCTATTACGAAAAATGCCGAAAAATGCTCTAAATCGACTAAGTATTTTAGGACCTCTGAAATCTGGGGTTCGCTTTTCCAAAGTCTCGTGGTTCGCTATTCAGAAGTGAACTGTCTTACAAAGGTTAATTCACGGTCTAGTGATAAAATAGAAGCGCTTCATGAATTGCATTTGTTGCATAATTTGACGTGATCGGTCTTTCTTTCTTTCTTTGCCCTAAAACGTATTGCAGAAGAACGAACTGTATTTCGAAATAGCAAACCTTCAGAATGATGGCAAACCGTCGGAATAATTAAGTAAGCGCATCCAAGGAATCATGCAACACTTAACAGCCATCATTATGCAACATTGTCCCAAGACACATTTGGTACACATGTTTAGTAGAATATGCACAAAATAGCATTCATGTCAGATACAGAATGAGTCTCTTGGTCTCCTATACAGGTAACCAAATATCCCAGATTAAAGCGAATTTGAAAGTTTGCACCACTGTCAGCTTCTTAATTTTCACCTAATTGTTTGGAGGGGGAAGGGTAGGGTTGAGAGAGTGAGTGCTCTCTCTTTCCTCCAACCAATAAACACATCGGCATGTCCCCCCCCCCCCCTCTCCCACTTGGCAAAATTTTAGAATCTCCAGATTTTGGATTTCCAGAGGTTGGCAACTCTGATATAGTAATGTCTCATCTGTGTATTCGACTATATAAATGCCAAATAAAGTGAAGCTGTTCAATTTTTTCTGTAGGAACACCAAAATCATTATTTGTAGTTCAAACTATGCTGCTCTACTGTAGAAAGTTTTGTCAAAATGTCTTGAATTGATACACTAGGTAATTGAATGTAGATATTACTGTACTCTTAAGTTCCAAATAATTGTACTATCTGAATAATTGTACCATGTGGAAAAATATTCAAAAATTAATAATTGTAATTTTTACATATCGAAAAATGTTTGAAAATTAATAATTGTACTGCATGGACAAATCTTTCAAACGGAGTAAGTGCAAGGAAAAGGTAGGAAATTCCATTGTGTATTGTGAAAAGAAAAAAAAACATTGCTTTGAAAAACATTTTTTATTTTTTTTAAATATTTGCATTTTCTTCAACCCTGAACATAAGCAGTGATCTAAGCTGATCTAAGCAAAAGAAAGTGATTTTGTGAGATGGTCCTGTTCTGAAAATACTTCTGCACTACTCTTAGAGCGCATTCTCAACGAATTAAGCCAGGCTTTACAAAGCCGGTGACCTAAAAATGGCGGACGTACATGAAAGAAAAACCGCCTAATCTTTTAATAGTCACTCCGCCTCTCACACGCCTCCCCACACGTCGTCCCTGCGGGGTACAGTAATTAAATCTCGGCTCCGAACATTAA